AAGCGACCCTCGCATGTCTGTCGTGTATCGTCGGCATCGGCGTTATCGGACGCGTAGCACAGGATGCAAGGGTCGCTTTAAAGCGATGTAACTTTGCGGAAAAAAATCGTAGTCGCGTTTCTTTTTTTTTAAATTGAAGAGGAAGAATCGATCTTCGTTTCACTGTATCCGACATCTCCGAAAAAAATTTCCCGAAGTCCGTGCATTTCGTCGAACTTGCCAATGTTCAAGTGATCTCGCATTAAAAATGTTATTGTACAATGGCAAGGGCAAATCGAACGTAAGATCATCGTATAGCGATGCTTTTTCTCTTGAATTAAAGCTCGAAGCTTATACTTTCGGACACTGGTTCTCGATTTTACGTTTGATTTGTCCTCGCCATTGTAGCATCTTAAATGTGAGACCATGTTTATCGCGTCGAACATTGGCAAGTTCGACGAAATGCAAGGACTTTGGAAAATTTTTTTAGTAGATGCTGTATACAGTGAAACAGAGTTCGATTCTTCCTCTTTAATTTAAGAAAAAAGAAACGCGGCTGCGAATTTTTCCCGCGAAGTTACATCACTTTGAAGCGGCGTCCGATAACGCCGATGCCGGCGATACACGACGGACATGCGAGGGTCGCTTCGAAGTGCTGTAACTCTGCGGAGAAAAATCGCAGCGACTTCATTCTGGTCTCAAATTGAAGAAGAAGGATTGAACTTCGTTTTACTGTAAACGGCATCTCCGAAAAAAATTTGACGAAGGCCGTGCATTTCGTCAAACTTGGCAATCTTGCGACGAACATGGCTTCGCGTTTGAAGGTCTACAGTGGTAATGTCGCGTTGAACTTAAAATCGAGAACCGACGTCTTAAATTATAAGCTTTAAGCTTTAATTTAAGCGGAGAAGCATCGTAATACGTCGATTTTTCGCAAAGTTATCGTCGATCAAAGTTGGCCAATATTATCCATCACTTTTGGATACGACGAACGTGGCCTCGCACTCGAAGGGTCACAGCGGCGAGGGTGCATCGANTTTTTCCGCAGAGTTACAGCACTTCGAAGCGACCCTCGCATGTCTGTCGTGTATCGTCGGCATCGGCGTTATCGGACGCGTAGCACAGGATGCAAGGGTCGCTTTAAAGCGATGTAACTTTGCGGAAAAAAATCGTAGTCGCGTTTCTTTTTTTTTAAATTGAAGAGGAAGAATCGATCTTCGTTTCACTGTATCCGACATCTCCGAAAAAAATTTCCCGAAGTCCGTGCATTTCGTCGAACTTGCCAATGTTCAAGTGATCTCGCATTAAAAATGTTATTGTACAATGGCAAGGGCAAATCGAACGTAAGATCATCGTATAGCGATGCTTTTTCTCTTGAATTAAAGCTCGAAGCTTATACTTTCGGACACTGGTTCTCGATTTTACGTTTGATTTGTCCTCGCCATTGTAGCATCTTAAATGTGAGACCATGTTTATCGCGTCGAACATTGGCAAGTTCGACGAAATGCAAGGACTTTGGAAAATTTTTTTAGTAGATGCTGTATACAGTGAAACAGAGTTCGATTCTTCCTCTTTAATTTAAGAAAAAAGAAACGCGGCTGCGAATTTTTCCCGCGAAGTTACATCACTTTGAAGCGGCGTCCGATAACGCCGATGCCGGCGATACACGACGGACATGCGAGGGTCGCTTCGAAGTGCTGTAACTCTGCGGAGAAAAATCGCAGCGACTTCATTCTGGTCTCAAATTGAAGAAGAAGGATTGAACTTCGTTTTACTGTAAACGGCATCTCCGAAAAAAATTTGACGAAGGCCGTGCATTTCGTCAAACTTGGCAATCTTGCGACGAACATGGCTTCGCGTTTGAAGGTCTACAGTGGTAATGTCGCGTTGAACTTAAAATCGAGAACCGACGTCTTAAATTATAAGCTTTAAGCTTTAATTTAAGCGGAGAAGCATCGTAATACGTCGATTTTTCGCAAAGTTATCGTCGATCAAAGTTGGCCAATATTATCCATCACTTTTGGATACGACGAACGTGGCCTCGCACTCGAAGGGTCACAGCGGCGAGGGTGCATCGAACTTAAAATCGAGACACATCGTCTTAAAGTAGAAACTACGAGCTTCAATTCGAGAGAAAAATCATCGTAATACGATGATTTTTCACGGAGTTATCGTCGATCGAAGATCGGCCGATTTTTCTCCAAAATTCGTCCAGGCTGCAATTGATTTTCGAGCAGCGTTCGTAGCGATGGCAACAGGAACGGTAATACGTCGTGGGTGCTAGGCCGCGATCCGTGCGTGATTCACGAGCATATGACACTCATTGTCAGGAAATGGTCGCGATACGTGTGTACACACGTGAAACAGCTGGGGCATTAGACGCGACACGACGCGGCGCGACGCGCTCGCCGGTGCGACCACCGCCGCGTGGATGTGCGCGCCCCGTCGAGGATGCGCTCCGTGTATTACGAGCGCAGGGCAGATTGTATATACGTATAGTGCGCGTTGACATGCATGCGGCGCGTGGATGAAAAAGGCCGCAGCCGTGGACGGGCGCGCGACGGGCCGCGACCACGACACGAGCATTTTCGGTATCAAGCGTTCCGCTCGGCGGACTCGCGTGCCGCCTATGCTAACCCGGCGCCGATAAGCGCGTGCTTTCGATCGTCCGGCCAACGATATAAATGATCCGGAGACCATCGCGAACGCTCGCGACGGCCGCGCGATTTATCAGGCTAAGGGTTGCTAATATAGAAACGCGACGCGGCGAAAGTTCGACGCGCCTACAGGAATTCGTCTTTTCCAATTAACATTAGATTTACGGAATTGCACGTCGAAATGGCGGGGCACCAATTTTTTCCTTTTTTTTACGATTATTTATAGCGTAAATGATATACTTATGAGTTGTTTATTCTATTTATGTGTTATTTACGGTAAATGTTAGAATTTAACGCTTGTTCGAGATTAGAATGAATGTATTATTGTTGTAAGCTGCTGTTATAAGCTAATATTGTTAACTATTAACTATATATTGTTATAAACAATAATATAAATATTATGTATAACAATATAGTTTATAGTTAATATAGTATAATAGTTAACAATATTAGTTTAACAATATTAACTATTAACTATATATTGTTATAAACAATAATATAAATATTATATATAACAATATACAGGGTGTTCCACAATTATTTTAACAGCCGAAAATGAGGGGTAGCTGAGGTCATTTGAAGTAACTTTTTCCTTTGCGAAAATGCAATCTGTGGCTTTGTTTACGAGTTATTAACGAAAAATACTGGCCAATGAGAGGTGACGGTGCGAGGGAGAGGGTCCGCGAGAGAGTCCGCAGCACGAGGCTTTGACAGAATGTCGGGACGGACTCGAGCCGTGTTCGAAGTATTGAACAAGTCACGAAGCGAGAACTTTCCGGATTTTTTTAACTACATAACAGTGATATTTTTAAGAAAAACGCTGTTCACCTTTACTTTAGAACGTCTGAAGAATATTCACTAATTTTTCGGACTCGAAATAATATGTAGTTTAACCGTGACAGCCGTTTTAATTTTCTGGTGTGCATGACACCTCGTGTGTACCATATGAAATTTTTATGCAAGGTGTACAGTGAAGATTAACGAATGATTTGCAAAGCTGATTTAATAATAAATAAGGGACGTAAAGGATTTGTTATTACATTACATTACGAACAAACAGTGACCAATAAGAATCGAGTACGGCTGACGCGAGGCGGCCCAGCCAACCAGCGCGCGGAGCCCGGTTCCGCTCGTTGGCTCGATCGCCTCGCGCCAGCCGAGCTCGCCTCTCATTGGTCACTGTTTTTCGTTGATAACTCGTTAACGGTGCCTCGGAGAAAATTTTCGTAAAGGAAAAAGTTGCTTCGAATGACCCGAGGAATCCGCCACTTTCGGATTGCGAGACATTTTCGGGACACCCTGTATATGCAGACAGAATATACAGTATCAGACTCTGTACAGTACATATCGGACTCTGCCGTTCAGAGAAATAGCCTCGCGCAGAATTCAGCCGTACCTAAAAGGTTAACGGCGGCAAAGTAAGAAAAAGGAAAAAGTAAAAGAGAAGATACGAATATATGGAAACGAGAGAACGAAAGAACGCGTATACGACGCCGAGAGGGAAACTCGGGAAGTTACGAAGCAGGAGCCGAGGGTGTTCGAGGGGAGCGGAGGGCGCTCGTCCGAAGGTTTCGACGATGTCCGGCGACAACGATGCTACATTGAATAATAGAGAGAGAGTGAACGAGGGTATTAGAAACGAGACGGCTCCCATAAACAATTCAAGAACGACCATCCAAGTTTCTTCTTCGATTAGAAAAAGTTCGTAACGCGCGTTTAGATGCGCGCACCTGGGAGGAAGTTTCCATCGTTGCCGAGTCGATAGCCCCCCCCCCCCTCCGCGTGCAACTTTCGCCGGAATCATCCCCCCTTGCCGTCGCGCCATCCGGGAGACGACACCCGGCCGCTCGGGAACGTACGATCGAGATCGAGACAGATCTGAATTTTCCGATACGCTTATATGCGGTTCTCGCGAACGTCGCGCGACGTTTAAAATTGTTCCCGCTGGCAATCGTCGATGGAAAATCGCCGGCGAGACGAATATTTATATCATGGAAATTTATGTTATAATTTATATTAATTTTATACTATGTTATGTAAATTTATATTATAGTTCATATTAATTGTGTACTATATTATATAAATTTATATTATAATTAATATTAATTATATACTATATTATATAAATTCATATATTTGCATGGAAAGATAAAGTTCCTTCGACTTCGATCAACCTTGAACGGTATCAAAAATAGTCAGGTCGCTATGAAATATTGAAAAGATTGACCTTTTCTTTTCTTTCGATCACAAACTAATTAAAAATTAGATCGACGCGAAAAGCGACCCGCAACAATTCATATCGATCGAACGTGTGTTCACTTTCTCTTTCTTTTTTGTCGTCGTTTCAAAGTTCTCAAGACTTACCGGTATGAATGTACGTATGCTTCTTCATATCGGACTTCTGATGGAACCGTTTCCCGCAGTATTGGCAGGGGTACGGTCTGGTGTCCGAATGAATCAAAAGGTGGGTGCTGAGCGTGCTCGAGCGCTTGAATGCTTTCCCGCATTGTTTGCACTGAAACAAAGCGAGAAACGATTATTGTGCTTCAATTGTTGTATCGTATTTTCTGGCTGTCGAATTATCTACTATCTACATAAAAACAGTATATTTATTATTATTATTATTATTATTACTACTAATACTACTACTATTATTATTACTACTATTATTAATATTATTACTACTATTATTATTATTATTATTACTACTACTACCATCATTATTATTATTACTATTATTATTAATATTATTACTACTACTATTATTATTATTAATATTATTACTACTATTATTATTATTATTATTACTACTACTACCATCATTATTATTATTACTATTATTATTAATATTATTACTACTACTATTATTATTATTAATATTATTACTACTATCATTATTATGATTATTATTATTATTACTACTACTACTACTATTATTACTACTACTACTACTACTACTACTACTACTATTATTATTATTATTATTATTAATATTCGTTGGAAAATATGGAAAATCTGATTCGTCGCTTCTCCCCGATTTTCCTAAAAAGTTAAGGTAAGGGTGCAAGGTAAACAATCGTCGGGGTTGCGAACGGAATCGAGATCGAGATCGAGAAGCCGAGAGCTCGCGTCGACTCGGCAGACGATCGCGCCAGGCGCACCTGTGTTCACAGTGCCACGGTTTTTCTTCGCGGCACTAATTGTCGCGTGGGCGCCAGAGAGCTGACAATACCGTCGAGGTCTAGGCGTGTCGCTCTTTTCATGGTGGACGCATCGGTGCATGCGTGGAATCGCGTATGAACGCGGCACGGGTACATATCGGCTATCTCGGAATATACGCATATTGTGCTGGGAGTGTGCACCGCGGTGTAACACGGTGTAACACGAGAGTCGCGAGCCGCCAACAGCCACCGGCACGCATGATTCACGACACCCATCGATCAATAATAAGGAAACGATACCGCCAACGTTATTAATTCCCCGTAATGCAAAGAACCTCGCTAATCATTCTAATGGACTTTCCGCGAGTCTCGCCTGACGGCCCGACAACGACGCGCGTCCACGTCGAAATCGCTCTCGCGAATCTAAGCGAGCGAAATCGACGACGAAGTCGCTTGTTTACTACGCCAGAGACGAACCCTTGTGGAAGAACGTTTATTTCTACGATATCCTGCTGTCCAAACGTTCTATTATCCTGTCGTTGGATTATTTAGATAATTATATATAATTATTATAGTATTTGTATATTATTTATTGTTTATATGTTATTTATATATTGTTGTATTATTTGTGTATTATTATATTATTTGTGCATTATTATATTATTTCTGCGTTATTATATTATTTGTGTATTATTATATTATTTATACATTATTATATTATTCCAGCATTATTACATTAATTATACATTATTATATTATTTCTGCATTATTATATTATTTCTGCATTATTATATTATTTCTGCATTATTATATTATTCCTGCATTATTATATTATTTCTGCTTTATTATATTATTTCTGCATTATTATATTATTTATACATTATTATATTATTTCTGCGTTATTATATTATTTATACATTATTATATTATTTGTACATTATTTATTATTTATGTATTATTTGTCTATTCTTTACTATATATATACTATCTGTCCATTATTTATTATTTACATATTATTTATACAATATTATATTATTTATATATTGTTTGTGCATTACTTATTATTTGTATACCATTTATACAAATATCCATCATTATGTGTAGTTGTTGAAATGATTTTCGTCGTTCGAGGGAAAAATCTCGGAACTGAATTTTTGCGTCGAACGACAGGTATACATATATCGGCACGCCAGAAATTTCTCCGTCGACGAACCTGCGTTTTCTTATCTATTGCACAATGCTGGTAAAGCGAAAACAGTCGATAGCAGCCGAGCGCGATCGCAACTCCGAAACAAATCCGTATGTAAATCGAACCGATTCCGACGAAAAAGCGACAGGGATAACCCGACAGCGAAAAACCGCGGTTCTCGTTAAAAGCTTTCGCGTAGCGTGCCACATATAAGATAAAAGAATGTATCGAGGGTGGCAGAAGAATTTCACCGAGAATTTCCATAAAGAATTTACATAAATTCGTCAACCGATGAATAAATAATCATATATGAATGACAAATAATCGTATATAGATTGTAAATAATTATGTAGAAATAATAAATAATCGTATATAAATTATATTATAATATGAATTACAATGTAAGTGGATTATGATTTAATTGAATTACAATATAACTGGATTATGATGCAATTGAATTACAATGTAACTGGATTATGATGTAATTGAATTACAATGTAACTGAATTATGATGTAATTGAATTACAATGTAACTGGATTATGATGCAATCGAATTACAATGTAACTGGATTATGATGTAATTAAATTGAATGATGTTCTGAATTACGAGTTACAATGTAATTGGATTGTGATGTACTTGAATTACAATGTAACTGGATTATGCTGTAATTGAATTGAATGACGATCGGAATTACGAGTTATGATGTAACTGAATTACAATGTTATTGAATTAGAATGTTACTGGATTGTGATGTAATTGAATTACAATGTAATTGGACTATGATGTAATTGAATTGAATGACGTTCTGAATTTGGAGTTACAATGTAACTGAATTACATTGTAATTGGATTGTGATCTAATTGAATTGGACGAAGATCCGAATTTCGAGTTACAATGTAACTGAATTACAATGTAATTAGATTATCATTTGCTTGAATTACAATGTAACTGCATTATGATGTAATTGAATTGAATAACGAAGGGAATTACGAGTTACGATGTAACTGCATTACAATGTAATTGAATTAAGATGTTACTGGATTATGATGTAATTGAATTACAATGTAATTGGATTATGATGTAATTGAATTACAATGTAATTGGATTACGATGTAATTGAATTATGATGTAATTGGATTATCATGTAACTGAATTACAATGTAATTGGATTATGACGTAATTGAATTGAACGACGTTCTAAATTTCGAGTTACAATGTAACTGAGTTACACTGTGGTTGGATAAATAATCGCATATAAATTATAAATAATTATATATGAATTATAAATAATCGTATAAGCTTTTTTCACTGAAAATCGATGCATCTGCGTATTCTCTTTGACAAATTCTTAAGGCATTTCGGTCGAAAACTGATTAGCCTAAGAAGCCCGTGTTTCTTCGTCCCGGCCGGGTCGCATAAGCGAGACTCGCTGTGCGGCGACGCGCGGTTCGGATTGTTTCGTTCGGGTATCGAATGCGCCGATGAAAGGAAATTAAATCGGACAAAACTCGGCGACGCGTTTTCTTGCGCGATTCGTCGGCCGTACGATCGTCGGCGCGCCTCCGTGAAGAAACTTCGGAATCGACGATTTATAAAGCTCTTTAGGAGCCGTTCCACGTTCAGCGGCCTCCCAAAGGGACACGCGAACGAGTTTCGGTGTAGGCACTTCTTCGGCGAGGACGCGGCGCGACGTCCAAATGCAGCATGCGGCGCGGCGCGTCGCAGGCCGGATTCGACGCGGCGAGGCGACGCGCCACCGCCGAGACACAGTTCGAAATGATCGAAAAAGATCCCGCGAGGAATTTCTTCTGACGGAATCGGGACTAGTTTACAGCCTGTATTGCTTTGTAACGTTTCTTGCGCCGAGTGGCCGCCCTAACTTTCGTTCGTCTATGTGTACCGACCTTCGGATCGAATCTTTTTTTTTAGAGAACGTCGATGTATGCGAACGAGAGTAATCTCAATGTTAATGTTATGTTTCGCTGGTTTTCATTGTCGATGATGATTTTATTTATTTGGGAATCGTTGCGTTGTAATTTCGCAATTAATGCGACCGAATTAGTTAGGTTTTTGTAATTTTACTCCTATCGAGTAGTTACGAATTACGTTGTAATTTGATCGAAGGACGATCTGAATTACGAGTTACGATGTAACTGAATTACGATGTAATTGAATTGAATGACGATCGGAATTACGAGTTACAATGTAACTGAATTACAATGTAGTTGGATTACAATGTAATTGGATTAGGATGTTACACGATTATGGTGTAATTGAATTACAATGTAATTGAATTGAATGACGATACGAATTTCGAGTTACAATGTAACTGAATTAAAATGTAATTGGATTAGGATGTTACTGGATTATGATGTAATTGAATTGCGATGTAATTGGATTATGATGTAATTGAATTACAATGTAATTGGATTATGATGCAATTGAATTACAATGTAATTGGATTATGATGCAATTGAATTACAATGTAATTGGATTATGATGTGATTGAATTGAATAGCGATCTGAATTTCTAGTTACAATGTAACTGAATTAAAATGTAATTTGATTAGGATGTTACTGGATTATGATGTAATTGAATTGCGATGTAATTGGATTGTGATGTAATTGAATTACAATGTAATTGGATTATGATGCAATTGAATTACAATGTAATTGGATTATGATGCAATTGAATTACAATGTAATTGGATTATGATGTATTTGTAATTGAATAGCGATCTGAATTTCTAGTTACAATGTAACTGAATTAAAATGTAATTGGACTAGGATGTTACTGGATTATGATGTAATTGAATTACAATGTAATTGAATTAAATGACGATCCGAAATTCGAGTTACAGTGTAACTGAATTAAAATGTAATTGGATTAGGATGTTACTGGATTATGATGTAATTGAATTATGATGTAATTAGATTATGATGCAATTGAATTACAAAGTAATTGGATTATGATGTATTTGTAATTGAATTGAATAGCGATTTGAATTTCTAGCTACAATGTAACTGAATTACAATGTAATTGGATTAGGATGTTACTGGATTATGATGTAATTGAATTAAATGACGATCCGAAATTCGAGTTACAATGTAACTGAATTAAAATGTAATTGGATTAGGATGTTACTGGATTATGATGTAATTGA